TCTTTTCACAGGAAGTGAGAAAGCCTTTTTTGCATCTCAAAAGGAACCGATACCAGACCCTAAAATGTGTGTAAAGACACTGCTATAAAGCACACTATAAAATACTGGTGACATTAAAGAGGATAAAAGGATGCATCACTATCAAGTCAAACTATAGAAGGTCTGTATGTGGGTCCATACTTTAATTCCCCACTGTCACAACTACAGAACTTACATATTAGTTTCAAAGCACTTAAAGAGCCAATATGCTCATTTTTTTAACTGTACTGTATTTCTTAGCCCTGGGGTCCACTTATAAAATTTGTATGATTTTATGTAGCTAAAATGGTCGTAATTCAGTTTTACCTGACTATTTTTCAACCTATCTTCATCTATTAGAATTAAACAGGCCATTTCTGTTCCTGTGCCTTCTTGTGACATCACAGAAACAATGAATTCAAAACATGCTCCAAAGTTGGCAGCATAGTTTCCATATATGGACTGTATGAACTGGGCAGTGCATGGCATATTTTGAAACTTTCACAATGTCAACACATTACTTCAAACTCTTTTTTCAAAAATGCGAAGGAAAGGAAATTCAATTTTCAATTATATGAGGCTTTTAAGATTAAAGGGACTGTATTGTGAAAAAGAACATTTTCTTTACTCTTTTACCATAAGAGTTAGATGTAATATATACATTTTTAAATAAGTTTCAACTGAATTAAAGACGTGGTGCAATGATTACACTCAGCATACCCTAAATCTCCAAACGGGTAAGGTTATTCCTCAGTAATAGGACAAAATACAAAACAATTTAAAGTGGCAATTTTGGAAAAAGCTTTGCGTTTGTAGCAGAAATGTACAGGTTGCTGTCATGTTAGCATCCTATTTCCCTTCTGATGCACTAGTGAGTTTTGTAGACATGAATTAAAGCGAACTGAAGCCCAAATTAACTCAACAGGGGGTCGGGACCAGGCATGAGGACACGAGCCAGAATAATCTCAGTGTCTGACTGCAGGCAGACCTAAATATAACACAGCCTACACTGCCATTTACAATGCACTGAGCATTACAAAAGAGGCCTCTGGGTTGTCCCCTGACTCAGACTATCATTGTGTAATGCCTGGACTCGGACCAATAGAACACCACAGTTTATATGGCAATGGCACAACTGAGCAAAATTATCTTCGTTCAGGATCAAAAGACAAGCCCTAAATTCTTTAAATGCTCAGTTCATCTTTCACTGTTAACATGCTCCACAGGCATTAACCGCCCCATCAGGAACCAAGGTACATGCACCGGTTGTCACCACAACAGAGACTTTCAAATAATAATAACTCCACCCTCTAAACCACGTTTACTATGCTTAATCCTGGAAGGTGTGGCAGCTGTTGCAGCAAGTCTTGGTTGGACTTTAAACACCACTGTGGAATGTGTAACTGGAAATATAAATCAAACTGAAAGTTTACTGAAGGGGAACTTACCAGCACCGACTTTTCTAATACTTTTCTTCTAATGGATCAACTTCACCACAAGTTAGGAATCTACCTTTGCATGTGCATATATGACCAAGGCTGGGTTCCAATCCAAATTTTCCCTACCGATACCAACACTAATGCTAATACTGTGGATAATGATTCCATGACTGTACTTCTTTCCCCCCAATACATGCTTTTAAATTGCAAACCAAAAGTGGGTGTGGCTTAAAGCTGCACTTAAGATTTTTTAGTTAAAATGGAAAGAAGTAGCATTACTGAGTCCACGTCATATGACTTTGTGTTAACGTGACACACAGGGTCAAAAAGAAGAGCCGGCTCAGTGTTTAGGTCTCAAATGCAAAAATCAATATTATAATGATAAAGATATGATTACAACAGTAGATAATTCACTAACATCCTTAGAGGACACAGCCTTCACCAAGAATTGACTGAGATTTTTCAATACTCTATAAACACACTTGCAATCATCAGAATCAGCCGCTTTGTGAAGGGGTCCGAAGCATAACTGACATTACAAAAGGTTCTTCCACACATTGCTTGCAATTACACATTTCAACCAGAGAGGTCTCCAAATCCCCAAAACGTACATAGTGTAGCTTTCAACCAGAAATGAAATGAATGTGAGATTTTGGAAGTATTTACTGACTGCTTCAGATTGTAGATTAATCAAGAACACATACAGAATGGAATTCAGGCAGCACATCAGCAGTCTAGATTCTGGAAAAAGCATGGTTATTGGTAGAGATGCAGCAATGTGGGAACTGTGGGCCAATGTCATATCCGATTGGATCAGCCTTACAGATAAATTAAGATTTATTTCTGTAGGGTAGTAAAGATCTGCCGACACCAATATGATTATGATATCATCACGCATCCTTACTTAGTTTGTGAATTTTGGTAGTGAATTATATGGAATTTGAACTAGAAATCAAACCGTAATTTAGTCTGTACTAAAAAGTATTTCATTTCAATGCCCATCCAAACATATAACCAATTATTAATCTGTACTGGATCCCATTCATAACAGAATTTCTAGAGAAGTGCTGTAATTATTAAGGTAAATATCTAAAGTACTAATTCAGTCTAAAAACAGGTTTAACTTTGTGCCACTACCTGCAACTCCAAAATCAGTTTTATGTATATTAGTTTACACAGTTAAGCAAGATAAAAGAATAAAAGCTACACTCTGAAGGACAAATTAGCTCCTGTAACTGTATGTGTAGGATAAATGCATTCATATGCAAAAGTTTGAACACTCCCGGTCACGTTTTGTTGATTTTCTAAGTGAAAATAAGTTAAATCATCCTCTACAGTGGACAAATTTAAATATGCCAACATAAATTTTATGTTTGTTTGTTCCAATATCTTAAATTGAACAAATAAACATTAATTGCCCTTTAAAAATGTTCTTTAGGGGCACCTCAACTTTTGAATACCACTGTATCAGACCTTCTACCTGCCATTGGAGTAAGACCACCTTCAAGGTGAACCCATCCTGAATCATCTGCTCGGTGGTAAGAGTGGAAGGACAGACCTGTAGTTTCCCTTAAATAAATACTGTGCAAATAACATGAACGGTATATCACTGTGAATTAGAATTCTTACTTAAAGGTTTGGTTTAGAGTTATGGTTGATTCCAGGTTAATGCAGCCAGATCGCCGTAAATTAAGAACCTGCTGCACAGAACATGTCCTACAAATACGCCTTTGCAGTCTGTTTGGAAAGTCTTCACAGTTCAGTTTACAACAAGGGAGACACCTAAAAAACAGCCAATAACTCTAATTCATGGGAACGTACTCTGAAGGAATGAACAAACAGGTTAAAGGTTAAAAGGGCAAAAGCGACGTGACAAGACGCAGTTCGGAACATTAACGTGGAGCTGTTTTGCGTAACACCCAGTGGGAAAGCAGATGCTAAAGAACCACATCTAGCCATTTATAGAACGCTTTGGTGGGTAATGACCATAAAAATGGTAAACACAACACATCAGGTGCATCGCATAACCTTACGTGATCACTGAGCACACAGGAACAGTTTGCTCTGTACTGTATCAGTAATAGAGCGCACATCCAGGGATGGGTCAACAAACAACCCTTATGCAAACAGGGTCGGTCCGTAATCTCAATCCAAACAAAGTAGCCGCAGAATTAAAATTTACTGCACCAACTCAGTATCTAATGCGGTGGGGGGTCAATTGTGACCACATTTTCCACTTCATTAGATTCAGATAGGCTTCACAATAATTTGCAGACAGGAACTATTTGTTATGCATTTACATATGATATTTAAAGGACTCTCAGGCTAAAATAAAAGACATAACCATCACCACATCTGTTGTAAACATGCCTACTGGCCTCTTGCAGCCGTGCCACAGTAGTCCAGACAATGAGATTTTCTGGTTTAATAGCTGAAACCCAATTCAGATCCCTCGAAGGTGGAACGAACTTTTGAAAAACTCTGTGGCAGCTGTTTGGCATTGCAATGCAGAAGGAAGCTGGATAGCTAACACTACTGCTAGGAAGCTGTACCTCACGTTTGCATTTATTTGCCTCCATATATCAAAACGGGGGACTCCCATTGGTTGTATGAAGTATTCTGTTCAATGCATGGACTGGAAGGATGCAATGCTGAACTAAAAAAACATTACAAAAACAAATAAGGTAAATTAGGCCAGAACACCCCTTTTAGAGAATGTATTAGGACAAATTTATTCATTAATTTATTTATTATTAAATAACTTGTGGTTATTTAAAGCTGGGATTCTTAATTAACAGCTAAAAAAATGTGTTAAATCATGATCCTTGAGTGTACAATGCTGATCACAATGTTCATTCGTTAATAAACAACCTAATAGCCAAACATAACATACATTTTCCGCGATTAACCTGTACGAATGACATCTCTTATTTCTCAATGAGGTGTCTGATGACCTGTTGACTGAATTTACAATGCGTACAAAGCGAGCAGGAGTGTTAAATCCCCATTAGATCTGACTTCACAGGCCAAGGTAATTAGCGCAATGCCATCTGTACAGCCAGCCTGCTCTGTTTAAAAGCTGTCTCACACGGCCATGTGCAAATACTGCCTTGTATACAAAGTAAACCCAAAGGCACAAGTCCTTGTGTCATGCCGCGTTTCCTTGGTTACCCCAGGGAGATTACTGAAGGCATCTCACTTCTTTAGTTAAGTGCCTCCACAAGCTGTTAAGAATACATTTGTTACGGGCTTTTTTACTACACCCACAAAATTACTCTGAAACACAAAATCTCGCCTCTCGTACTGTAGTGGCTGAACATCATCTGGATTATAAATAATAATATTACGACAATAAAATGATGCTTAGAGGAATAAGGCGCACAACAGCCGTTCCTCTTGGGATACCAAACTCTTTTGATCTTAAAATGTAAGAGAGAACATCTACGAGGACAAACAGATGGAAATAAAACCCCATTTGTGATAAATCATTGAACAGACCCCACTCTCACTAAGAGCTCTTTGAAAACCGTGCTGTTTACTTACCGTTCAGTCCATTGGGGATGCTTCTGTGGAGATGGCTGACCGAAAGGTCATCCATAGATCTCCTGATGGATGCTATCTTGCTCTCGGCAGGCTTGTGCCCGTGACTGTGATGGTGATCCGGGCTGCCAGCGCTGCCTGTGCTGGAGGTGCTGCTTCCGTCCCCCACGTCCCTCACGTTACTAGAGCCTCCGTTCAAATTGGTCAGACTGGACTGGCTGTCTATGGAGCTCCTAGATCCAGCACCATTCCTCTCCTCCTCCAGCATGAGGATGATCTCCTTCAGCTCCACGTTCTCTCGCATTATACTTTCCTGGTTGGCCTCCAGCTCCTTCAGTTTCTGCTGGTAGACGCCGACCTCCTTCCACATGACGCTGGCGGTGTACCTGCCGAACCTCTGCCACTCCCGGGACAGCTTTTTACCTTTCTGCCGGTCATCGTCCAGAAAGCAGCACAGCTCTCTGAGCTCCTGGTTATCGTCCTGCAGCTTCTGGTTCACTTCTTTCAAGCTCCGTATCTCATGGAGATGAACCTGCAGCCTCCGATTGACATCTTTGATCATGTTCCCATGCTCCACCATCAAGTTCATCTTCTCACTGTCCACTTTTCGGAGCCTCCTAACCAGTTCATCTTTGCTGAGTCTGAAGAGCTCCTCATCGGATATCTTACCTAAATCGTCCCTCGGCTCGTCCTGGACATTTTTTGCCATATTCCTTCCTCTGATAAGGATCTACGCAAGGAACCTGGAGAATGTGATCTAATGGTGCTCAGGGAAATCTAAAATCAAATTCATGATGTTTAAAATCCAGAAAGGCAAAGCAAGTTACAGAGATCAAAACAACTCCACGAAGAAGGGAAGATGCTTTATATCTATGAGGACCTTCTCGTTTCAGAAGGATCCACTGATCAGGTCTAGATCGGAGCCTGCACGGTGAATAATGAGGAGATCAGCTCTGCTCCAGTGCAGTAGGCTGGTCGCCCTCGCTGATCCTGGATCAGCAGAGCGTGTTAGGATGGCACTGGCAGCATTCACAGAGAAACCAATCAGCACCCTCGTCCTCAAAATCCAAGGAATTATCACAGAAGACACAGAAAATAACTCCAGTTACTTACACAATCCACTCCAATCCACCATTTCCCTCCAGAAGAGTGATATTGTTGGGAAACTTTCTCCACACATCGACCAGCAACTGAAAGGAAACAGCCGCGGTTACCTTTGGCTAAACTATTCAGTGCCCAACGCCGCCTAAAGCGAGATTTCTCACCGATTTCTCGGCTTTTCTCTCTGATCCAAACGTGTGACTGAGGATCTTGATGTCCAGGAGGCTCTCGGAGAGGCAGCCAGCTCCACGAAGCTCAGCGAGCAGGTAGGCTCTGATGGAGAGGTGGGCTGGCTTTAGCCATGCAGCAGCTCAGATTGAGCTCCCTTAAAGGGACAGTAGCCAACAATTTCTCAGCAATTAGCGACCATTTACTACAGAAAGTACGGACCAGTTTCACTCCCTTCCGTCTTTATTCAAACAACAGACCCACCTACACCTGTAAATTTCAATTACGTCACGTGCACGTCGTAATTAAAGGCACAATTAACGCTTCCCGTAAAAGATTCCTGTATGTTTTACTAAACCTGTGCGGTGGTAAATATACTGACGTTACATCAGAAAGCGAGGCAGAGTCAGTAAAGCGTGTCAGACTGATCCTTATATTTCAAGTATAAATGTAGTTATTATTGCGTGTTCTGATTTGGAGATTTTGAGGAAGGAGTTTGAAGAGGCGAATGATGTGAATCTATCGCCATCTGGTGGGCAAAGTGTATACACCCATGGTCGACTTGTGGAGAACCCAAAAAGTAAACTCTTCTCATTTGGGTCGTTGTTATCAATTCGTAGTCCTGAAATAAGCCTTTGCTGTGATTCAACTAATAATTTAAAGCTAATTGTCCCTAAGTCCCCAAGAAGCTGAATGAGCTGTGAGTGAAGGGAACCACTAAGCTGAAATAGCTCCAGATAGAATAATAAAGCCCTCGTGACAGTGAAGATGCAATAAGTACAGAGATGTTTGGACTAAGGCTGAGAGTGTAATTAGACTTTTCTGAGAATCTCTGCAGACACAAGTCTACGGTTACTGTTAGCATAGAATAGAATAGAATAGAATAGAATAGAATAGAATAGAATAGAATGTTAATGCTTCATATAAAATAGAATAGAATTGAGTAGAATAGAATAGAATGCGTGTTTTAATAGGATAGAACAGTGTTAATGCTTCATATATAATAGAATAGAATGCTAGTGCTTTTTTAGAATAGAATTCAATAGAATAGAATGTTAGTGTCTTAATAGAATATGGAACATAGAATGTTAATGCTTCATACAGAATAGAATAGAATGGAATAAAATGGAATTGTCATGCTTTTATAGAACAGAATACAATAGAATAATATATATGGAGTAGAATAGAATAGAATGCTAGTGTTTTAATAGGATAGAACAGTGTTAATGCTTCATGTATAATAGAACAGAATAGAATGCTAGTGCTTTTTTAGAATGGAATACAATACAATAGAATGTTAATTGTTCATATAGGATAGAATAGAACAGAATAGAACAGAATGCTGTGTTTTAATAGAACAGAATAGAATGTTAATGCCTCATATAGAAAAGAACAGAATGGAATAAAATAGAATGTTATTGCTTTTATAGAATAGAATACTGTTTTATAGAACAGAATAGAATATCAATGCCTTCTCAAATATACTAGAATAGAATATTGGTGCCCATAGATTAGAATTGAATAGAATAGAATAGAATAGAATAGAATGCTGGTGTTGTAATAGAACAGAAAGTTAATGTTTCATGTGAAATAGAATAGAATAGAATACAATAGAACAGAATAGAATAACAATGCCTTCTCAAATATACTAGAATAGAATATTGGTGCCCTAGAATAGAATAGAATAGAATAGAATAGAATAGAATGTTAAAGCTTCATATAAAATAAAATAGAATGGAGTAGAATAGAATAGAATGCTAGTGTTTTAATAGAACAGAGTAGAATGTTAATGCTTCATACAGAATAAAGTAGAATTGAATAAAATCTGATGTTTTTATTGCTTTTATAGAATAGAATACAATAGAATAGAACAGAACAGAACGCTCGTTTCTTTAATAGAATAAAATAGAATATGAATGCTCCATATAAAACAGAACGTTAGTACTATCTATAGGAGACCCTCTAAAAGAATCGATATAGAAGAACAGCTCTTTTCAGAGTGACCCAGCTGAGACGGGCCTGTTAGACGCATTAAAGCAGAAGCAGCTGTTCAGCACCGTCATGTCCAGCTCAGCGGGGAGCAGGACGGCAGTGTGTGGAGCTGAAACCGCTCCAACACAGCGCACACTGGGAAAAGCAGGCGGGAAACGTAACAGCGAGACTGTAAAAGTGAAAGCGAGGATGTTTACTCAGCTAATTATAGTTACATAATAGACGATTTTCCCAAGAACGCCGCGGCGTCTCTGATGCCAGGAACGGAGCTTCAGCCTAAAAGCCGAGCCGGAATGGAAAGTCTCGCGTTTGGTGGCCTGTGACTTCACGTCTGCGAGGAGAAGCGGATAAACGCGTGGGAGCTTTGTTAACGTGACGCCTCGGCGAGAAATCAGAGGGGTGTTGTACACTGAATTAAAAAAATGGAGGGATGAACGGATGAGTCAGAGGGAGGATGACCAACAGATGGCACGGCAGATAAGTTAGAGCGAACAAAGCGCAGGCTGACTTTCCGTGATTGCAGTCCGGGCAAAGTGCAAAAGTGCAGAAAGGCGGTGAGGACGCCCGGGGGACCCTCAGCACGCGCTTGCATAACGCCTGCATGCTTCCATGGGTCTGAAGTTGGGCTCCGATTAACGAGGCACCATGCGCTGGTTTGGCGAGTTACTCGGCGCTCGGTGGCGTTTGCATTTCGTCTGGCTGTGTTTGCTGGGGTTTTGGGCAGCACCTGTGCTCCTGCATCCTCAGTGCTTGGATTTTAAGCCCCCTTTTCAGCCCCAACAGCAGCTCCGGTTCTGCGTTATGTACAAGCACTTCGGCTGCTGCGACTATGCCAGGGACCAGCAGCTGATGAGGAAGTTTTACGAGATTATGGACAACTTCGACTATTTTGGCTATGCCACCTGCGCAGGGTACGTTCAGGACCTCATCTGCCAGGTCAGTAGCCGTTCAGTATGAGTGGACTTAAGTGCATTGAGGAGAATTGACAGTACTGAGTTCTCTTGAATGCTGTTGTGTTTTCTATAACAGTGATCTCCACATCAGCTAAATATAAAAATAACAGTATTAAGTGTTTTAAATATGGTTTTAAGTACATGAATTATGCTTTCAGTAGCCTATTAAAGTATCATTCAATTGATTAAAGGGCCCATATCACGGAAAACAGAATTTTCTTCACTTTTTTGAAATAAAGTTTGAAGTAATATGTAAACATATTACGTAAACACTTCATACAGTCCACATGTGGAAATTAACCTACAAAAACAGCCTATTTTAAATTCACTATTTCTGTGATGTCATAAGAACCAGCTCATTTACATATATACACCTATGCACCCCATAGCAGTTTGGCTCCTCCCATTCAAACTGAAGTTATAAGGAGTGTGGCACAGCCAATCAGAACAGAGCTCATGTTTTTTTTTGTACATAGAACCACACAAATTTTATAAGGGGACCTCAGGGGGAAAATGTAGGATAAAAGAATAAGGACAATGTTGGATATGGGCCCTTTAAAGTATCATCTTTTAAAGTGTAAAAGGTATTTAAAATAGTTTTAGATATAATAATTATACTTTCATTATTAAAATGTGATTTAAAAAATACTGAAGTATCATTTTTAGGTATACAAAGTTTTAAAAAGTACTCAAAAGTGTCAGTGTTAAGTGGAAAAAGTACAATTTTAAGTATAAAAGTTATACTTTCAGTATTAAAGTATTATTCAAAACTTTTTCAAGTGTAATTTTAAGTATGTAAAGTATTTTAAAGAGAAGAATTACATATTAAAGTAAGTATTAAAGTGTCTTTTTAAAGTGTAAAAATGATACTTTCAGTATTAACGTATTATTTTAAAGCCTGAAAGAATATTTTTTATGTATAAAACATATGAAAAGTATCAAAAAGAGTAGACAGAATGGTCTCATTTAGTCTGAGTCCAAAGATTAAGCAGAACAGTACTGTGTGGACGTGCAGAACATGAGCAGTGAGGAGTATCGCAGCCTGCCAAAACTCACCCCCCCTCCCCACTCTTCCTGTTTCTTCTCATCAGGAATGTTCTCCCTATGCTGCCCACCTTTTTGATGCTGAAGACCCCAGCACACCCCTGAGGTCCATTCCTGGACTCTGCCCAGATTACTGCTCTCAGTTCTATTCAAAGTGCAAGGCCACCATCTCCCTGCTGTCTGACGACTCAAAGTTATTAGAACTTCAGCACAACCAGAGCAGGTTTTGTCAGTATCTGGAACTAGATGACCAAGACTACTGCTACCCTCATCTCCTGACCAACGAGCAGCTGAACAAAAACCTGGGCCGCGTGACGGCTGACTCCGACGGCTGCCTCCAGCTATGCCTTGAGGAGGTGGCAAACGAACTCAGGAACCCTCTGGCTATGGTGCACGCCAACGACGGCACCCACAGGTTTTTCGTTGCGGAGCAAATCGGATTGGTCTGGGTGTACCTTCCAGACAAGTCGAAGCTGGAGACGCCGTTCCTCAACGTCACCAAGGCTGTGCTGACCTCTCCATGGGAGGGAGATGAACGAGGCTTCCTGGGACTCGTTTTCCATCCCAACTTCAAATACAACGGCAAGCTGTATGTCTACTACTCTGTAGAGGTGGGCTTCGACGAGAGGATCCGTATCAGCGAGTTTCGTATCTCTGCCACAGACATGAATGTGGTGGACCATAGTTCAGAAAGGTGAGGCTTTCTGCTGAGCATGTTCTGATAATGTTCATCCTGTTAGGTTTGTAGATAAACTGTTTAACTGTATGTAGGAAGACACACTTTAATAAACAGCACCCTTGTTTTTTTGGCCCATTTTGTGTCAAGAACATAGCTTATCTCTGACCTAGACTGTGTAATTACAATATATCTGAACAGCCTGAATTAAAGAAGATAACATAATGGTTGAAGGGCCATATCCTACATCTGATTGTTCAGTTCAGGTTTTGTGAGTTTACAGGGCTTATAAAAAGTATCATTGAACATGCACTCACAGTGGATTTCATTTGTTTTTTGTTTTTGTTTTTTTTACGCTGATCAACAGAAACACTTTTTTATGTCAAAGTGAAAACAGATCTCTGCAAAGTGATTTAAATTTAATTACAAATATAAAACACAAAGTACCTGATTGCATAAGTATTCTCACCCTTTAATATGACTTTCGTAATCAAACGGATTTCTGTGAAGCTGCTTTGTGGCAACATCAGTTGTAAAAAGCGCTATACAAATAAATTTGATTTGATTTGATTTGATTTGCAGTCATATAGTCAGGGGTCAAAGTGATTGTAGTATAAATACACCTCCATCTGGAAGGTCTGACTCCTGGTGAGTCAGTATCTTGGTATAATCTACAACAAGAGGACAAAAGAACACTCCAAGCAAACTGAAAAGGTGACTGAAAACCTTCAGGGGATGCATACATGACCGTTTTCAAGTCACTGAATATCCCTTGGAGTACAGTTAAATCAATCACTAAGAAATAGAAAGTACATGGCACAGCTGTAAATCTGCTGTCCACAGAACCTGAGTGACCACGCAAGAAGAATACTAGTGAGGGAGGCCACCAAGAGACCTATGACATCTCTGAAAGAGTTCCAAGCCTCAGTGTTTGAGTTTGGAGAGACTGTGCATACAGCTGTTGCCTGGGTGTTTCATCAGTCACAGGTTATGGAAGAATGGCAAAAAGAAAGCCACTGTTAAATAAAGCTCACGGCTATGGTTTGCCAGACGGCACGTAGAAGACTATGCAGTCAGCTGGAAGAAGGTTTTATGGTCTGATGAGACCAAAATTGAGCTTTTTGGCCATCAGGCTAAACGCCACTGCACATAATCATAAACACACCACCCCACTGTGAAGCATGGTGGTGGCAGCATCATGCTGTGGGGATTCTTCTCTACAGCAGGCCCTGGAAGACTTGAGGTGAGGGTTGAGAATAGAATGAATGCAGCAAAATACAGGGAAATCCAGGCGGAAAACATCATACAATCAGAAAAAAACACTGAGCTTTAGGAGAAGATTTGCCTTCTAGCACAACAATAACCCCAAACATGCAGCCAAAGCTGCACAGGAATGGCTTAAAAACAACATTGTTAATGTTAATGTTCTGGAGTGGCTGAGTCAGAGTCCAGATCTTAATCTAATAGGGAGTTTGTGAGTTTGGACTGTGCCTTCAACATATGGTGGTAGTATGAGAGAAGACTGACTGGGGGAGGGGAGAGAACTCTGAGTCTTGGGCTGGAGTTCTGGGCAGCTTCTGACTGGAGCTAGAATCTCCCATCCAACCCCATCTTTTTAACTGTGGGAGGACCGATAGGACTTAGGAACAAGGAGGAGATGGGGTAGTGGTGGGGCTTCGTCATGGGAAACAGAAGGTAGGGATTTATAGAGCATAAAATTGCAAGGAGGGAAGGAGGAGGGGTTTCAGGTTATGTCAATTATTCCATAACTGCATTTTGGGACTGGACTTGAGAAAAGCTGTTCACTCACGATCCCCATGCAACCTGACAGAGCTTGAGCAGTTTTGCAAACAAGAATGGGAAAAAATTGCTGTGTCCAAATGTGCAAAGCTAATAGGGACCTTTCCACTCAGACTCAAGGCTGTACTTGCTGCCAAAGGTGCATCTTCCACGAACTGACATGCTGGGGGTTGAACACTGACATTATGTTTTATATTTGTAATTAATTTTAATCACTGTGCAAAGATCTGTTTTTACTTTGACACAAAAAAGTCATAAAAACGCTTATTGTCAAAAAATGATAATGGTGATTCAGTGTTCTATGGTCATAAAACAAGAAAAAGGGGGTGACTACTTTTTATAGGCACTGTAGATGCCAAAAATAGTTATAATTAATTTTTATATGATCATTTTCCAACCTCTCTTTATTATTACATAAGCTACATTGCCTTTAAGAGTAATACATGTAAATGAGCTCTGTTCTGATTGGCTGTCCTGTACTGGGCATCATTCAAAAAGAAGTCTGGACTGAAACACTACTTATAACTTCAGCATAGAATGGGCGGGGCTAAAGTGCTCTAGGCTGAATAGGTGGATATATGTAAATACATTGGTTTTTGTGAAGACCAAACAAGCTGTTTTTGCAGCTTAACTCCTATATATATGGACTGTATGGAGTCAGTGGTACATTTTGAAACCGTAACAATGTTTACATACAACCTCAAACTTTTCAAGTTGAAAGAAACTGAGGAAAATTTACTTTTACATGACATGGATCCTTTAAAGTAACACAAGATGTGTTGGCCCTAACTGAGCACACTCCATACAGGTATTTTGAGAATGCACTGTTTTAATAATTTTGGTTGCCCTAGATCAGGGGTCGGCAGCATGCGGCTCTTTTTCTGCCCTGTTGCGGCTCCACAGCAGAATTAGATTTTTAGATAAAAATGAAATAATCCTACTTTGCAGTAAAATAAAGCTTTACTGATCGTTCTAACATAGTTTTAACAATAACTAGTCTTAAACACTGGAGTTAATGTAGCATATATATTGTTTGAACTCTCCTGTTCCACCTTAAATGGTGCAGCAGTCACATTGGTGAATGAGAAGCTGACTTCAGCCTCATAAAAATCAAATGTTGAGAGACATTTTACAAGAAACTATTCCGCTTTTGGAAAAGTTTCCTGGCGGAGATGCGAGAAAAGCTGAGCTAAAGCTTAAAGCAGAGCAAAGTAAGTCTGCATTTTCATTTATATTTAATTTTTAGCCTATACTACCACATTAGCACATACCGAGACATTTTTACAGCCAAGATGATAAAATGGACATAAAATGTTGTGGCTCCCAAGGTGGTTTGATTTTTGTTGAAAGGACAAAATGGCTCTTCTTAACATTTGGGTTGCCGACGTCTGACCTAGACTTTTTTCTCATGTTTCCAGGATAACTTGATGTTTGTTGGAGTTTTCACTGACTCACAGAATGCTGTTGTTTTCTCAGAGTTATATTGGAGATCGATGAACCTGCCTCTAATCATAACGGAGGCCAGCTTCTCTTTGCTGATGATGGGTACTTGTATATCTTCACTGGGGATGGTGGCATGGCCGGAGATCCTTTTGGAAAATTTGGAAATGCACAGAACAAGTAAGTCTGGAAAAACAATCACCCAAACTGGTGGTGTGTTTTGCATTAAGACACAAAAAGAGCCATAATCCTTGCTTAAGTGGTTAAGCACTCTGTTCTGAATTTCCTTCATGCTCCTGGTTCACTGGGTCATAGTTCTTTTCACATTGACTGGGTGCAATTAAATCTCTTCATCATGATCTAATGAATGCTGCACTTCTCTTTCTATTCTGTCTGAGTGATTAAGTTATTAGAAATGTTATTTCTTACCAGATGATTCCAAAAAAGAAACATCATATTAGTTACATATGTTACAGTCTGTCTTGGCACTAAGATGGAAAGTAAAGTAGCATTACATTACATTACAGTAATATTAGGCCTAGACAGAGCAGCAGGCTTTGAATAACCATCTGTTTCTGAACGAATGCACAAATACTTGTTTTCAAAATCAGCCATAAAAACAACATATAAAGTGTTTCTCAGTTGACTGCCTGAGGGAACAGATACACATTCATTTTAATCAGTGCTTTAGTCCACACCAGCTGTGTTAGACACACTTCTTACACCTGTCAAAACACAAGCCCTTCTGATCTATTAAGTTTTACTCATCCAGTCTATTTTTTCACTTGCACGCTGAGCATTTTTCTCATCAGCATCTTTGTTCTTTTAGCTTTATTGGCCTATTTTTGTGGCTAAAAAAGGCAAAGCTTTCCAATCCAATGGGTTTTATGGCAGCATTCCTAGGAGTCCAAGCCAGCAGGGGAGCAATAGCAAAGTGAAAGAAAAAAAGTGAAAGTTTCAGCCAGTCATAATCCAGATGCTCTCCATGTCTTTCCTAAACTGCTGATCGTTTTCTCCTCCAATCACTGCTCAACAACTGTACAACTATCCTCCATTGCTTCAGACAAGTTTTCAGGGTTTTTAGTAGTGAACTAGCATTCCTGTGAATGTACTTTAAATTTGAAGCTCCAAGTGTTCAAAAGATGTGTCTGGAGGACTGCGAAAGCAAGACCTGATACCTCCACAGAGTAGAGGACTACCATTTACAAGACAAATATAAAATTGGGTTGAGTTAAAGAGAAAACGTGAGTTAAAGAGAAAAGGTGCATCGTCCTTGTCAGCAGTGATCTGCAAACTGTCATCAAAGGTAAGATATAAATGGAATAGAACAACATTTTCCCCACCCATCGTGGGGGTATGCTTTAGCTAGGATGCTTGACAGTTTGGGTTTTTAAGTTTGATAATGTTCTAAGTTGATAAATTTTCTATCTTTATTATGAACATTTCAGCTGCCCAATTTCAATTCGTAATCTTCATTGAGGTATGCTGCCATTGTGGTGCTGTATAGGCCTTCACTGACCATCCAAAAAAGGCAGCCAGATAGGGACCACCAAATACCTTGACGGGGGGATGATAATTTGAAAATCCAGGCCTGCTAAATAGAGAAACGCATAACATAACAAATGAATAACCAAGTATTTGTGGCTGCCCTGGTTAATATGCATTTTCTGAAATGCAGTTATTCAGGTGACTAATTTTATATTTGTTTGACTTTTTTATATCTAGATCTGCTCTCCTGGGTAAAGTCCTACGCATAGATGTGGATGACAATAACAGGGGGCCTCTGTACAAAATCCCTCCTGATAATCCATTTGTCCATGATCGCGATGCTCGGCCGGAGGTGTATGCCTATGGGGTGCGGAACATGTGGAGGTGCTCTGTGGACAGAGGGGACCCTCACACCAAAGAAGGGAAAGGACGCATCTTCTGTGGAGATGTGGGCCAGAATAAATATGAAGAGATAGATATAGTGGAGAAAGGCAGGAACTATGGCTGGAGAGCAAAAGAAGGCTTCTCTTGTTATGACAAGAAACTCTGTGCCAACAGCTCTTTAGGTGTGCATCCTGTGTTAGTGGACAGCAATACAGTCAAAGAAATGTTGGTTTTCTCATTTAGGGACTGATGTGTAATGTTATAAATATTGCAAAATTAATTAAGTAGCTGGCATTAATCATGCAATTTTTTTGTTCTCTTTAGATGACGTTCTTCCAATTTATGCATATCCCCATAAAATGGGCAAATCAGTAACAGGAGGATATGTGTACAGAGGCTGTGAATGCCCCAATTTGAATGGAATGTACATATTTGGAGACTTCATGAGTGGGTAAGTGTTAAAAAGTGTGAAATTACCTCCAGTTCTGAGGAAACATCACATACAGTCGTGTGCAAAAGTTTGAACACCCCAAGGGAAGTTATGTTTTGTTTTGATTTTCTAAGCAAAAATAAGTTTACACATCCTCTTCAAATGAACAAACTTTAGAATAAACTTAAACATGGCATTTTTGTGCCAATTTTATTGCTAAGTTTAGCATATTGTAAAAAATTTGCACAGGCTACATTTTATGTTTAATCTTTTAAATTAAGTGTATAAATAGAGAATTTGTTAACTTACTTTCACTCAGAAAATCAACAAACATAATTTGACAAGGGGTGCCCAAACTTTTGCATACGATTGTATATACTATACCCATGACCGAGAAGGATAAGCGATTTAGAAAATGTGTGTGTGTGTATACTATAGGTTATGCATATAGTATTTAACTAGAATACTTGTGGAAGTGGACTGCCACTGAACATTTGGATGCTGGACATTTAATACAGTTTAACACAGTTTAACAAGCCAGTTCTCATTTTATTGGAAAAGATCTTTCAACACATAAAATTACTTAAAATAAGTACAAATATGTAGAAATAAGTTATATACTTTGATAGTACTCTCACAACAATCTCAAACTGCAACATATTAGATAAATTGACTAGATTTAAAGGGCTCATATTGTACATATACTTGTTTCTTTTTTCCTGAGGTGCACTTATAAGGTTTTGTGTACCAAAAACGGCCATAATTCATATTTACATATCCATTTTCTTGCCTCTTTTTATCCTTTGAAATAGGCTGTGTTTGTTACTGTACCTTTAAGACTGATGGACATACATGGCCTCTGTTGTACTTAAATCAAAAATCAGTCTGGGCTGAAACCCTCCTAATAACTTCTACATGAGTGGGCGGGGACAAACTGCTGTACGCCAAATAGGTAGATATATGTAAATGTGTTGGATTTTGTGACATCACTAAAACAACAAATCAAAACAGGCTTTTTTTGCAACTTAGCTTCTATATATGAACTGTATGGACTGAGGAGTGAACGGCATGTTTTGAAACTTTAACAATGTTAACAAAAAGGTGAGGAAATTTTGGTTTTCTATGATATGGGCCCTTTAAAATGATGTCACCTGCCGGGATATAATTTTTTGCAGCGTAGACGTTAAATAATGTAAACGTTTGTGTCCTGCAGACGTATGATGAGCCTAAAGGAGAACAGGAACACACGGAAGTGGGTCTACAGTGAGATCTGTATGGGCTTGGGCCAGACCTGTGCATTTCCAGGCCTCATCAATAACTACTACCAGTATATCATTTCTTTCGCAGAGGATGAGGCAGGTATGACGCCAAAGAGCATGAAGTTCCTTCCCAGGCTGCTCACACGTTGCCAAAACTCCTTTACAGTTAAGAGATGTGCAGTTAAAAGTGTTTATCACTGACAGGAGTACATTTGTAGCTATTTATAGTTCTCACTTCTTCCATAAACTGTCACTGTCATATCAAAACCTCAAAACTCCACATTTTCTAGGGTTTTTATACACCATAAAAAAGAAACAGTAGCGCTTTTTTATTGTCCCTGAAGTTCTGGTATTAACCAGATACATGTGAGGTACAAACTCCAAAGTACTGTGTAGCCATTTTGGGTAAAAAAAAAAAAAAACATCAAAACAGTCTGACTAAATTACACTGAGCAGGATGTAAACAGGACATAGTAAATTGTCTCATAATTGAATAAAAACAGTGTACAATAATTTGCAGTAACAAAGTTGAAAGCAAAAACAAACTCACACTAACTTTCTCTCTAATGTTACATGTTTGGGGTGGAAAGTTACTGGAAAAAGTCTTTAAGACCCAGTAAAACTACAGTAAGAATCATTGCTTCAGATTCAGTTTTGTTTCTAAGTACCAGACAGGTACATACTATAAGTTGTATCACCTTTTCATGCAGTTGTATGCAAAAGTTTAAGGACCCCTCGTTAAATTCTGTTTTGTGAGAACACACGTCTGCATATTTTATTGCACATTTACTGTTTATTTGCTGAATTTAATATATTGGAAAAAATCAAATTGCCTGTGTAAAGGTTATTCTTTTATGTTTTATTTTCCAATATGTCAGAATATAAGTAGAAATAATACGTAGAAATTGTGCAGTAAAAGTTACAGAAAAGTGCCACATTATTTGTTCCCTGTGGTCGATGTGTTCACTTGTTTTCACTCAACAAATCAACAAAACATGTACTTTGACTGGGGTTGTTTAAACTTTTACATATAAGTATAACTGCCTGGTACTGAGAGGTGTTTCCAGTTTACTTTCCTGCTTATACCTGAGGCATTACAGAGAAATGTGGTGTGAACATGCCAAACAATCATCCAATTATGAAATAGGTTATTATGTTACATGTCAGTGTAATTAAGTCAGACTGCCTGGTGTTTATCTCCATTTCTCTCACAATAATTAGCACTTCGAAGTTTGTACCTCACACTTACCCAGTTAATACTTACACTGTAGAACAATAATCTTCCTTCTGTTAATTTGTTACTTGAACTTCATTGTACTCAAGAGTTTAAGGTAACCAGGTAACTTACTGTTTTAAGTTAAAACACTTTGTTGAAGCAGTTGGGTATTTCAGTTTAATTTAGTTTGACCGTCTTGGAACTTACAAAATAATTATGTCATAAAAATATCACTTACCTGATAAATAACTATAACTTAGTGCATGGGTCGGTAACATGCGGCTGTGGAGCCGCATGTGGCTCTTTTACCGTCCTGTTGTGGATTCACATCAGAATTAGATTTATAGGTAAAATAAAATAATCCTCCTTTACAGTAAAATAAAGCTCTGCTTATCCTTATAACACAGTCTTAACGGTCTGAAACGCTGGAGTTAATGTAGAACTGCTAATTTACTAACCTTTAAACCTGAAGGCTGGCGTGCAGACTGCTGGCCACAATAGCAATGCAGACAACAATCTCGTCTAGCTAGTAGCTAACATAAGGGCAAAGATAAAGATTTAAGACGAACATCAATAATTTGGACTTATTTGCATTTATAATCACTCCAGCTGGTTTCCTGATACATTTAATCTGCAGTTGGAAACTGTCAAACACTAAAAAGTCACGAAGCTGATGTCAGATTCTCACTTGGCAGCTTCTTTTTCAAATTTTCCTGTTCCACCTTAAATTGTGCAGCAGTTACATTCTGGCCTCTCAGACACCATTTAAGGTGGAATGGGAAAATTTGAACAAGAAGCTGGCCAATGAGAAGCGACTTCAGCCGCGTAAAAAGTCTAACGTTGAGAGACAATTTACAACAAACTATTCTACTTTTGAGGAAAAGTTTCCTGCCAGAGATATGAGAAAAGCGGCTGTAGCTGAACTAAAGTAAGTCTGCGTTTTCGTTTACATTATATTTGTTTAGTCTACACCAGGACATTAGCTAGCATATTAAGAAGCCAAGATGGTAAAACATTACTTCAATAAAATGGACATGAAATGTTGTGGCTCCCAATGTGGTTGATTTTTGGTGAAAGGTCAAAATGGCTCTTCTTAACATTTTGGTTTCCGATCCCTGACCTACAGCAGCTTAGCTCTGCCCAGTCTTTGGAAAATGGTCATGTAAAAATGAATTATGAACATTTTTGGTACATGAAACTACACAGATGTTATTTGTGGACCTCAAGGGAAAAAAAACAAAAGAAAAACGTGGTATACACAGAAGTCCGGAGAGGCCATGAGGTAGTTATAATTTTCTGGATTGTTATCTGGAGATAACGAGTTAATTATCTTGTGATCTCAAGATAACAAAGTTGTTATCTTCAGATAAACAGTTAAGTATCTTGTGATACTACTTCTGTTATCTTGAGAGAATTAGTTAATTGTCTTGTGATCTCAAGATAACAAAGTTGTTAACTTGAGATCACAAGATAATTAACTTGCTATCTTAAAATATCAATCCAGAAAATTATAGCAGCAGCTCATGGCCTCTCCGGACTTCCGTCAGTATATGGGTCCTTTAACAGACACTAAAAGTAAAAGCGTTTGTTTCTTCTCCTGTAAAATTAGCATCACAAACACAAGGATTTGTTATGACAGTGAGCTCAGGTAATGACCTGAATGCTTTGTGTCTCTGCTCATTCTGTCTGTGTGATTAGGTGAACTCTACTTCATGTCCACTGGAGTTCCAAGTGCAACGTCAGCCAGTGGTGTTGTGTATAAAATCGTTGATCCCTCTCGGTAAGAACTTTAGGCCACAACCACAGTTCAGAATGTGCTGCGTCAGCGCAATTGATTCTTCCTGAAAAGAAGCTTCTTAAGTGAATGCACATCTGCTCATTATTAAGCTGCACAGTCACTACACAGAAAACAAGTGTCTTTAGATGTTACTTTAAATGTACAGTGGAGTTCAGTCTTCCATTGCATGAAAAAAAAACTAGCTTATAAGTTACTGTCCGCTGAGACTGAGCTCATATGAAGTGAAAAGCCTGGCTTGGCACCACGCTGCACTGCTGTCATCTAAATCTCTCTCTCACTGGCATGGATTAAGTTAGCTGGCCAAGTTCTCCACAGCTGTAATGTGATTTCTGCTCTCTGTCTTGTTTCAGCGTAGTATTTACTTTTGAAATGTTTTCCTCAGAAAATTCATCAGTTTGTTTGTATCTGATTTGTGTTGATTACACAAGCTTGTGTCTGTTGGGGAACAGATTAAAGAGGATTGTTTATTTTATCACAGACGTGCTCCTCCGAGAAAATGCCATTATGACCCCATTCCAGTCCGAGTCAAGAGCAACCTCATAAAGTTCAGGCCAAAGGAAAGTATGTTTTCTAGCCCACCAAAGGCTTCATACTTCTTATAATGTGTTATGGTCTCTAGTTTTCTGTTTATAACACCTGAGTTTGTACAGATATCTTGGCAGTACCTGTTGGGTTTGGACAATGCTTAGGAATATAGTCCTGGTTATATGACGTGTGATAAAATTGATGGATATTGCATTAATGTTGCCTTAGCATGCTTTTCAAAGGCGAGTATATTGTATGAAAATAGCAAAATAATCAGTCTTATTAGCTGATGTTAAAACACATCCTCCACAGCATTAGGCCTGTCAGAATTATTACATAATGCAATCATTTGCCATTATTAGCATTTCACATCAAATGTGTGTGAATTATCACCTCCACAGCATTAGCTGGTAGGAATAATAAATATTGCATGTATTTTAGCGTAGCATAATTTGAACATGAAGATATTGTCCTAAAATAGCATAATTATTAGCCTTATTAAATGATTCAGCATTAACCACAGTACCAATCTACACTGATATTAATGTGAAAATAAGTACTGCATTAATGGTATCATAGCAAATTTCTAAGAATGCAGTATATATATATATATATATATATATATATAAACATATAAGTAACATTGTCCCACAATTCCCATATCAGTGCATCTCTAGTCAAGGTGTTGTATTAAAATAGCAAAATAATTAGCCTTTTTGCATTATTTTCAAATGTCCCTCAATTAATTGGCATTAATATTTATGCAATAACCAATATTTCATAATGTTACAGTACCATCATTTCAAATATCATGATACTGCACTACACAGCCAAAATATTCTAACTTATTAAATGATTAAAATGTCTTCTGCACAGCATTAACTGGTGTTGACACACCAACAAAACAGCCGAAAGTTGAAGTCCAGCCAACAGAGCCTCCACGGGTCACCACCAAAGACTGGCTTCAGGAGTTACTGGACACCCTCAGGGAGCAGGAGGCCATGGGCAGGACCACGCCGTCTCCAATCACTACAACAACCAGACCTCCCAGGCAGTCCCGTCCACGTAAAAGCAGACGCAGAAAAGGCAAGCGCAAGCCTGAGAGGGGCACATACAGCGGGGCTGTGAGACTGGCTGGAGACACACACGGCCGGAAGGACCGTGGGAGAGTGGAAATATATGCCAACGGAGAGTGGGGGACAGTCTGTGATGATCTCTGGAACACCAAGAACGCTGCTGTTGTCTGCAGACAGATGGGCTTCCCCTATGCACTAAAGGCCTCCAAACACTCGGAGTTTGGAGAAGGAAAACAACTGAAGATCCTGCTGGATGACGTGCAGTGTGAGGGTACAGAGGACACCCTTCTGGACTGCCAGCATGCGGGTGTAGGCACCCACAACTGTGCTCATTATGAAGATGCAGGTGTGATTTGCGGTCATTCAGAGCATGTCGAGCATTAGCGTTAGTGCAGGTATACAATCACAATGGCCTCTGTGCAAAGTTCAGGTGGAAAAAGGGACATTGACCTCGAAAAGTAGCACATAGGTCTACCTCATCCATTGAATCAAAAACAAATCTTAGCTCATAATCTTTATTTGAGGTTTTAATTGTTGCAGATCATGCAGTTCACTCTTGCATCTTCTTGTGTATTAAGGTCCATAAAATATGTGAATACACAGCTCTTATTTTGTATTTCTCAATAAATAATTCTGTGAATTACCGTAAAAATGGAGCATCAGTTCTTTCCTAAAATACCCAAATAAATAAGTCATTACTTTCCTTTTGCAAGCACAAAAACGAACTACCGGATTTTAAGGGGGAAGTTTTGGAATGGGAAACAGAACATCTGTACAAGTCCTCTTATCCAGAGCTAATTACAGGTCAATCATATTATAGATGTAGGCACATGTAGTGTTAGGAGTCTTGCCCAAAGAACCTTACTGGTATAGTGTGGTGCACTTGCAAAGGAATTGAACACTACACCAACTGCTGTAATCTAGCTCTTATAATCTTTGCAATTAAAATTGCTTTTTGAATGCCTTTGGCCAGTATCCTATTCATTCAGGTGTTTCATTCAGCCCCATTACCACAGATGCATAAAATCAAGTACCTAGCCAAGCAGTCCTCTTACAAACATTTATGAAAGAATGTGTCGTTCTAAAGAGCTCACTGAATTCGAATGTGGTACTTTAATAGGATGCCCCCCGTTGCAACAAGGCAGTTTGCGAAATTTCTTCTCTTCCAGATATTCCACGATCAACTGTGAGTGGTATTATCGAAAACCACAGCAACTCAGCCACGAAGTGTCAGACCACATAAAGTTACAGAGCGGGTTGCTGAGTGCTGAGGAGCATAGTGCATAAAAGTCACCAACGCTCTGCTGACTCAATGACTGCAGAGTTCCAATCCTCCTCTGGCATTAAAATCAGCACAAACACTGTGCGCCAGAAGCTTCATGGCATTGGTTCCATGGCCGAGCAGCTGCATGCAAGCCTTACATCACTAAGCACAATGCCAAGCATCGGATGGAGTGGTGTAAAGCACTGCCAGTGTGGACTCTGGAGCAGTGGAATATTCTGTGGAGTGATGAATCACACTTCTCTATCTGTCAGTCTGATGGGCGAGTCTGGGTTTGGCGAAGGACAGGAGAACGTTACCTGCCTGACTGCACTGTGCCAGCTGTAAAGTTTGGTGGAGGAGGAATGATGTTATGGGGTTGTTTTTCAGGGGTTGGTCTAGAACCCTTAGTTTCAGTGAAGGGAAATCTTAATGCTTCAGACATTTTGGATAATTGCATGCTTCCAACTTTGTGGGATCAATTTGGGGAAGAACCTTTTCTGTTCCAGCAGGACTGAGCCCCAGTGCATAAGGCAAGGTCCATAAAGGCATGGCTGGGTGAGTTTGGGTTGAAAAAACTTAACTGGCCCTCAAAGAGCCCTGACCTCAACCCCATCAAACGCCTTTGGGATGAACTAGAACAGAGATTGTGAGCCAGGTCCTCTCGTCCAACATCAATGTCTGACCTCACAAATGCTCTTCAGGATGAATGGGCAAAAATTCCCACAGACAAAATCTTGTAGAAAGCTTCCCAGAAGAGAGGAAGCTGTTATAGCTGCAAAGGGGGACCAACTCCATATTAATGCCTATGGATTTGGAATGGGATGTCATTAAAGCTCCTGCAGGTATAATGTGTAGGTGTCCCAATATGTTTGTCTATATAGTGTATCTTATATAATGGGTCATTCTCAGCACTGCACTAACACTGACGTGGTGGTGTGTTAGTGTGTGTTGCGCTGGTACGCGTGGATTAGACACAGGAGAGCTGCTGGAGTTTTTAAACACCTCAGTGTCGCTGCTGGACTGATAACATCACATCAACCAAAAATGTCTTACATCTACAAGGTGGACCAAGAAGGTAGGAGTGTCTAATAGAGTGGACAGAGTGTTACAAAACTCCAGCAGCACTGCTGTGTCTGATCAACTCAGACCAGCACAACACACACTAACACGCCACCACAATGTCAGTGTCACGGTAGTAGTAATAGTAGTAGTGGTAATGATCCACCACCCAAATAATACCTGCTCTTGTGGTCCTGTGGGGCTCCTGACCATTGAAGAACAGGGTGAAAAGGGGGCTAACAAAGTATGCAGAGAAACAGATGGACTACAGTCTGTAATTGTAGAACTACAAAGATCACAGATAATGATAAGTGGAGCTGATAAAATGGACAATGAGTGTAGAAACAAGGAGGTGGTTTTAATGTTATGACTGATCGGTGTATGTCTAGGTAGACAAGGACAACGGTGATTGAATTGTGCTGTCTTTAGAAGTGTTTGTGCTTTTCTTGCTCACCTCCACAGCCAGCATCGTTGTCTCTCCCAGCATGACAGTGAACACTGATGGAAATTCAACATGCAACACAAATCATTTATCATAATAATACAGCTCAAGATTTCATTTGGACCGAATATCCTCCATATTAGTGATCATAGAGGCCTAATGCCCCCCATTTAGCACTAGCTGATCACAACTACCTATATTTATCCGAAACAAAAGTCATGTTTAAGTAGGTATAACTTATATAGGTTAACATCTATAACATAGCACAGCCCGTAATCAGCCTAGCTAAAGAGGTTTGTAAGTCATATTTAACTGGATAGGGAGATAAAGTTAGTTTAGCTATCAGAGGCGACTTTAGCTGTGTTTAGACGAGTTAGCTGGCTAGCCATCCTTGGCTAACGTTACTCGATAGACTGATACGCGGTATATAACAGCAAATCGATCACAGAAAAACACAAACTAACCTCAAAATAGTTGTGTTACAGAACATTTAACCCTAATATTTGGTAAAGCATGTGTAGCTAAGCTAGAATGGTGCACTAGCTGTGTTTGAAGTGAGCTAACCGCTAGCAAACAGTGGCCACTTGATAAGTAGCCTAGATATACGCGGAAAACATTCTAATACATCAGCACAGGATTGCAGACGAACATGAATGATTTGAGTGATGATATCAATATACGTGAAGTAAAGTCTTCCACAGTCTTTATACTATATTTTCAGGCGGGTGTGCATGGCTCCATAGCTCAGTGGTTAGAGCACTGGTCTTGTAAACCAGGGGTCGCGAGTTCGATCCTCGCTGGGGCCTCAACTCCACTTTTCATTATCAACATTATGAACGTTATAATCATCGGAACCCCACACGATCAGTGGAACAATATAACATATAAATACAATTATATTCCTCCAGTAAGCATGGCATTTCTTACAGGGCCACACAGTAAGTCAATAGGAAGGAGACTATACACACAGAGTGCAGTAAAACAAGACAATACAAAAATAAATACACAGCACAACTTATGAAAGTATGAAGGCAATGAAAGTAGAGAATGTTTTGCCCTTTTTACCGTTTACCATTTTGGAGATACTTGTTGATCTGTTTTTCTTTGGACTACGACGATTTCATTGTGCAAGTGGTAGATAGACCAGTACAGATACCAGCACAATGTATTGGACCATGAATGTAATGATAACAATATATTGTAATGAATATAATAATAACAATTAATTATAACAATAGATTGATATTATATGACTTGATCTGCATCAGCGAGAGAAATATGAACGTCAGAAGGAAGAAGTTGGGGAAAGTGTTAGAAATGTTTATAATAAACATTTTCATTCAGAGCACTCTGAATGACTTTATTTACAACCGTTGAACTATTCAGAAATTCAGAAAATTGATGGAATTCCCCTTTAAGCGTTGTTTTGGTATCCTAGAATGAATGGAATCTTTTGAAACACCTTTTAATAGATTGTTAAGTGTCTGTATTGCATACTGAGTTGTAATGTAATGTGTTATGTCTGAGAGGTCAGACAATGTGAAGTTTTACCTGACCGCCTGTTTTATTTATTAAACAAAGATCACACTGACACATTCTTCCACTTGACTGTCATGTTCTAATTCACCTCCTTCTCAGTCCACTGAGGCTGGTGGAAAAGTGTGGCTGAAAACAAGGCTGAGAAGCAGACAGAGACTCTGAAAGGTTTCTCACTCTTCCACATTTAACAGGACGGCGTCCTCCTCATTTCAATAAGGACGTCTTTGTGTTGGGAGCTCCATCTCCTCTTTGAACAGGGTCATTGATATGCTGAGCGTTCAATCACGTAGGTAACGCCAGACTATCTGTGCCAGATTCGCCTCAAAAGTGCCTGTTCCACTCAAACGTAATTTTAGGTTCTGTCTTCAGCAGCATCTCATTCAATTCACGCAACTTCTCCAGACGTATAAGAATATTTCATCAAACCGTTCGACCAGGTTGGACTAAAACAGTGGAGCTCCTACATTACTATATGTACATGTTTTCATACTTTTCACACACTCAATTACAACATCGTTAACATTCAAAAGTTTGGAATCAGTTGCCATGTTAACAATGTTTGATATTTTATGCACAATAATAGCAGTTATTAAATGAAGCTATTAAATGATAAATAATAGATACCATAATTATCTATTTATATGTTTTTTTGTTAGTCATCTGCCTTGAGAACTGATAACATTCACTCTAGAAATATGATGAACTCTTGCTACTGATTTTATTATAACTCAGTTCTCAGTGTTTACACAGTACAGCTTTCTCAGTCATTTTACATCATTTTACAACATCTGCAGCTTTAGAACATCTGGATACATCCAACACATACACACACACACAAACACAAACACATACACACAAACACACACACACACACACATCCTGTATAAATAAAAATAATGCATGGCCACGACGTAGTAAGGCGTGAGAATGAGATAATTAAGTCGTGGGAAAAAGATTATGCCTTACTAACTTGTGACCACGCATTATTTTTATTTATACAGGACATCACCAGCAGGGCTCTGTAAAAAAGACATGTATGTATATAATATATATATATATATATATTTATATATTAATATATGTATGTAATATATATATATATATATATATATTTAGACGCACATTATGCTAATACCTGGACCTGTTATACTTCATTAATAGCATACAGGTTTGTTTAGACTAGGTTTACGTGTTAAGAGTGATGTTACTAAGACATCTGCTGGTGTAGAGGAGTAACTGATTTCCACCAGCATGATGGCCCCAGTGACTGAGTCTGTGACCATATCATACCAGCAGGGGGCAGTGCTGCACTGCTCAACTACTGACAGACGGATTGGAGCATCATTTGC